CCTGGAGGGCCGGGGTGGCTGGAGCTGCTGCAGGGGGACTGCTGGGGTCTCCGGCAGTCCCCTCTGACTGTGATTGCCGCGGTCATAGAGGCACTCAGTACAGGCAGAGCATCGGAAGTCTGCCTGATGGGGGCACCATCACCCGGTGTTCTCTGGCGGCCACTGGCAGTGATGGGGTATTGCAGCGATGCCTCAACATCAAAGCATTGCTGCAATACCATTAGAGCTGCTGGAGGCGATCATTATCGCTTCCAGCACTCTAATTCCCCTTGGACGAATCAGGTCCGTTTTTGTCAGATTTACCTAATACGTCGTTAGTCGTGAAGGGGTTAAAGATGATTTGCATAAAAAAAATAACATATCATTTACTAAGAAAATAAATAAGGTACATTCTTCCCTTTTTAGTAACTAAGATTTACAGATACAATATACCATAAGTCTATAAAGAATGAGGCTCATCTCACTGTCTGTAAGCACCTCCCATGCCTCCCCGCTGTTAGTCCCTACACTAGATTCCCGTAAGATATAGGGCTCGATTTAAAATTAAAGTGCTTGCTTAAAAATATCTTTAAATAACGCTGCTCCTACCTATCTATCCTCACTGATACAAAAGTATGTTCCATCCAGGGCTCTACGCACTGCTGAGGATCTGCGTCTATTACTTTTTCGTACTCGCACCACTGACGCATTCCTTCAAGACTTCTCTAGAGGAACTCCCTTCCCAATCTCAGTTCCTTCAAAAGATCTTAAAAACTTACTTATTCAGGAAAGCATATCAATTAAACTGTTAATAGTTTACCCTCCCCGTACTTTGGTAACCTCAATACCTCTAGAATGTAAGCTTGTTTGAGCAGGGCCCTCAACACTCTCTGTTCCTGCGAGTCCAACTCATCTTGTTACAAATACATGTCTGTTAGTCCACCTATTGTACAACGCTAGTGAATTGTGAGCTGTTCGTGACGAACTCCGGTCAGCTGACACATCCTGGCCAATCTCCAGCAGACCCTCCCTCCCAGACCCTCCTACTTCCTGGACAGCATCCATGTTTCAACATCCATGTTTCAACATGGATGCTGTCCAGGAAGTAGGAGGGTCTGGGAGGGAGGGTCTGCTGGAGATTGGCCGGGATGTGTCAGCTGATCGGAGTTCCCGCGGCGAACCGTTCGCGAGAAGTTCGCGGACGGTTTGCGACATCTCTACTTATAATCTTTATATTCTGATTAGTTGTTAAATGTATTTATTTACTTAACAGTGAACTCTGATGAATTAAAAACATAAGGCTCAATTTATTAGATCCCGATGGACTTTTTTCGCATTCCTACAAAACTACACCAAAATTGCTATTTATTAATGGGTGTAACTGTGTAGCAATGCAAATTAGTTAAAGGGACACTGTAGGCACCCAGACCACTGCAGCCCATCACCCTTAACCCCTGCAAGTGTAATTATTGCAGTTTTTATAAATTGTAATAATTACCATGCATTTAGCTGTAGTGATGTACCGAACGGTTCGCTGGCGAACGGTTCCCGGCGAACATAGCATGTTCGCGTTCGCCACGGCGGGCGAACATATGCGCGGTTCGACCCGCCCCCTATTCGTCATCATTGAGTAAACTTTGACCCTGTACCTCACAGTCAGCAGACACATTCCAGCCAATTAGCAGCACAGCCTCCCTAGCAGATCCTCCCACCTACTGGACAGCATCCATTTTAGATTCATTCTCAAGCTGCATGCTTAGTAAGAGGAGGGAAAGTGTAGCTGCTGTTCATAAGATAGGGAAAAGCATAGCAAGGTTAGGGATAAGGGTATGCTTTTTTTTTATTTATTTTTTCTATGTAATGTAATTGCACTTAGTTGTCTGCCACTGCTGCCAACTTCTGTGTCAGGCTCACAGTGCATACTGTGCCCATTTCCCCAGTCAGTGCCACCAATTACATCTGGTGTCACAATAGCTTGGATTTAAAAACAAAAAACTTTTTTCACTGTTATAGATTGAATAGCAGTCAGTTGTCTACCACTGCTGCCA